GGTGTTTTTGCCGCCACAGCCGCCTTAGCAGCTGACTCATCCAGTGTGCATAGGAATTTGTTCATAGTTTTTTTTTTTTTAAACTATAGTCCGGCCCTCCAATGGTCTGAGGGACAGTGAACTGGCCCCGTTTAAAAAGTTTGAGGACCCCTGGTCTATAGGCAAGGTAGCTAGGTCAACTGAATTCATGGAACTTTACAAAGATATCCCAGATTCCAAAGTGCATGTCAGATTCAAGTAGTCTCGGGACAACAGATCCAACGGGATCTTTCTTGGTGTATAAGTGTGTATAAGTGTGTATATATGTATATTCCAACTCATAGGGACCCAGTATGTCAGTCTTTATGGTGGCCAACGACCTCATCTTTCTCCCACAGAATGACTAATGGGTTTGAACTGCTGCCACTGTGTGGCTAGCTGCTGAACCCAGAGTGCCACTAAGGCGCCGATATACGTATATGCATTTATATGTATATTTCCTAAAGTTCATGAAAAAAAGGAAATAAAAGATAATGTCATTTTCCTACAAACTTTTTGAAGTCACCTCGCATGTATATACATAAACGTACACAAACACACACACACACATACTCGTATAGCTCGTGTGTACTCATCTATAAATCCTGGCAGCTCATAAATAGAAGTTAATTGCCAGTTAAGGTTGTTTAGGAAGTAGGAGCCCTGGTGGCATAGTGGTTACCCATTGGCCTGCTAACTTTAAGCTCAGCAGTTCAAAACATCAGCCACTCGGAAAAGATGGAGCTTTCTACTCTCATAAAGAGTTAAAGTCTCGGAAACTCACAGGGTCAGTTCTACCCTGTCCTATAGGGTCGTTGTGAGTCAGCATCAACCTGAAAACAGTATGTTTGGGTTTTTATAGCTTCAGGGAGATTATTTATTCTTCATGTGGCTACCTAATACGTTAAAGAAAAGTCACTTGAATCGGTCCCTTAAAAACATATATTACATTAGCTCAATAGCATGAAATAACTGATAATAATAAGCTTAAGCTAAGAGAAATACAGTCATGAGGAAGACTGTAGAAACAAAATTACAGGCCACTGTTCATTTTATCTTAGTCATTCTTGATCACTCATCAATAACTGTATTCAGTAAAGATTCCAATGCCATTCTTAAATTAACTCAGCTATAAATCAGAACCCACCCATGTCAGTGCTGCCCCTCTTCTGAAGGACTCCGTGTTGAGATCACACACGGTGCTCTGTGCCCACTGCAGGTGTCATTACCTCATTTACGCTGGCTGGCATTTGTAGGAGGGAACATCTTCACACCCATTTAACTGGGGGAAAACAGGCTTAAAGGTTGCTTTAGAGGTCTTAAGACAGTGGTTCTCAACCTTGCTAAAGCCGCAACCCTTTCATACAGTTCCTCGTGTTATGGTGACCCCCCAACCTTAACATTATTTTCGTTGCTACTTCATCACTGTCATTTTGCTACTACTATGAATTGGGTGACCCCTGTGAAAGGATCATTCAACCCCCAAAGGGGTAGCAACCCACAGGTTGAGAACTGCTGTCTTAAGAGTTGGTGAAAGGTCAAGGTGGAAGGCAAAGCCATGACATAAACTCCAGAGAACAGACTCTACTTCCTCTACTACTTCCCAAGACACCAGAGTTCCTGGGTGGGGCAGACAGTTAGTGCTCTCTACTGTTAACTGGCTCTCGACTATGACCTGGTGGTTTGAGTCCACTCAGAGGGGTCTTGCAAGAGAGGCCTGGCGATGTACTTCGGACAGCTCAGCCTATGGAGTTCAGGTCTAGTCTGATACTCACCGGGCCTCCATGAATAGGAATCAACTGGATGGCCTTTGTCCTTCTCCTCCACCTGACCATTAGACGACCTTCTCGGGTTCATCTTACCTACAGCATTTTCAAGACTGCTTCTCAGAAACCTTCCATTGTATGTCCTCAAATCTGGGGGTCTTTCCCTTCAGAATTTCCTAAATTGACTGGATTTCCAAACCCACAAAATCAAAAATCAAATCCATTGTCACGGAGCCGATTCTGACTCATAGTGTCCCTATGCGACAGGCTAGAACTGCCCCTATAGGCCTCCGAGTCTGTCCTGCTAATTGGACTAGAAAGCCACATCTTTTTCCCAGCGAGTGGCTAGTGGATTAGAACTGCTGACCTTGTGGTTAGCAGACCAACACATAACCTACAGAAAACCCCAAACCACACACAGGATCTTATTTGATGGTTTCAGGTCTATTCAGCTAATCTATAGCTTCATAGGAAAATTAATTTTGTGTTCTGTTTTATCCCTTGAATATCCTTATGGGTCTTTGACCTTCCCTATGCAGATCCACTGCCCCTGAATTCATTCTGACTCATGGGACCCAAGGGGACTGAGTCGAACTGCCCCACCAAGTTCCAGGGACTCTAGGTTGTTATGGGAGCAGACAGCCTATCTTTCTCCCAAGGAGTGGCTGGTGGTTTGGACTGCCTGGCCATGGGGTCGGCAGCCAAATACGTAGCCACCAGGGCTTCTTGGCATCCAGAGTCACTTTATACAAGTGCTGCCGTAGCCAAGTGTGTGCCCTGCTTTGGCTGCAGAAACTCCCTGTTGGAAGAAGTTGAACTTATACGTGTTCTTTGCCCTAGTTGGAAATGTTTGATCCCAAATGTGTACCTGGTTTGGATGGCCAGGCGTTCGCTCTTTCTGAAAAGCAGAACGTTGGGGTGCTAGGAAACGAAGAAAGCGTCCTTGTAAAACAGAAGGCACCTACCTCCAGAGTGATGGAATCGTTTCGGTATGTCATGCTAGGAAGCCACCAGCTAATAAGAACGATCATTTGGAGGGTGTACGTGGGGGTGGGAGTAGGGAGAGAGGGATGTCGTGGAGTTTGAGGTCGAATCAGGATAATTCTTCAATCGGATTAAAAAATAATAATACTAACCAGATAACTTGTCCAGTCGATTCTGACTCCTGGTGACCCTGCATGTGTCCAAGGAGAACTGTGCTCCAGAGAGATTTTAGGGCCCTGGTCTCTAGGAAACAGACCACCAGCCTTCTGCGTGGGCTTTAACCATCAACCTTTCAGTGAATAGCTACACACTTACCTGCGTGCACCACCCAAGGGCTCCTGCCCACCTGGGTTTGTTGCATAAGAGATAATGAAACAAAGCAGATCGACTGAAAAAAATGTATCTTTGCATTGGGCTTAAAAGGGAATGCTGAACTCAACCCATCCCATCGACCAGAAAGCAACTGAAAGCATCTCCATTCGAAAGAGGATGGTACCTGTTCTGGGCATTCACCTCCACCTGGTCAGTCACCTGCCCCAGGGATTCTTCCTCCTGCTTCTGCCGCAGCCTTTCCTGCCGGGCTCGGCGGCGCCTTTCTCGGGCAGCCTCTTCCTCGTCGTCATCATTCCTCTGGTAGGCGATTCTGCAAGAAGACAAAGACCGCTCCGTGAGCAAACCACCAGCCACCAAGACGCTTCTCTGACTCGGAGTCCTCTCCTGCACCACCAACCCACTGCCATCACGTCAATCCTAAGGCTAGTCACAGTACGCACAGCCTCTTTCTTTGTTTTTTTTCCCCTTCATAAATCTTTTATTTTTTATTGTGCCCTTTCTGGTAACATCAGTTCAATACTGCAGGTCTTTTTTTTTTTTAATTAATTCTTTTAAAAAAAATCATTTTATTGGGAGCTTGTACAACGCTTATCAGTACTGCATGTCCTTCACAAAAAATGAAATGGAATATTTACTGTCTTTAATGAGACAAAGGACAAGACAAAGACAAAGCTAGCGGTCATCACGGTGTCCTACAGTTTGCTGATATACCAAACCCCAAACGCTAAGCTCCCGGCCATTGAGTCAGTTCCGACTCACAGCAGCCCTGAGACACAGAGCTTTCAAAGGGCATGGGCGGTCAAGGACAACTGTCAGAAATTCACGATTGCAGGTGGGATTACCTGAGCAGGGATGGCGCCAGGATTGGGACATGTCTGTCGTGATAGAAGAGCTTACAAGATTGGTCCAGGGGCCTCCTCAAGGCAGTCAGGGCGTGACTCTAACTATATGACCCCCAATTTGGTGATCTCCACCAAGGACGTACCCAGGCAAGTCCCCCAGGGAGACTGTCTCTCCCTAGGCTTGTCAGGGGGTATAGGTAATCCGCTTTCCAATGGACTCTGTCTGAGGCCAAGATGATTTACAGCCCTGATTGATGGGCAAAGGGGATTCAGTGGCGCCATCATGCATGTGGGGACTCTGCAAATGGATCTGGGGACTCTCTAGGCTTTCTGAGACTCGATCTCTGTGGGAACAGACAGCTTCACTCTTCTCCCCAGGAGTGGCTGGTGGTGTCAAACTGTGACCTTGCTGCTAGCAGTCCGATACCCAACTCTCTGGGATACCAGGACACCAGGGCTCCTAAAATGTTACCTCAGCCTCTACAACTACAAACCTAGCTATGTCAGTGCTTTATGTTGACTATTCTTCTACAACTCCTCAGCTGAAACCATTTACAAGTGCAATAAAAACAAAACATCAGAGCCATACGAAATTCACACCAACAATACAGACTTGATATGACTGAGGTTGGTTTTGCTCCATCTAAATCCGTCGTGCTTGATTTATAAACCAGGTATTTCCACCCTTGCCCAACCCCCACCCCCATTTTTAGATGGTTGTCAGTGCTTCATTTTTTAAATTAAAAAAATAAGTTAACAGTTTAATTGGCGTAGAACGCATAAAACATACAATTCAATAGTTCAATCATCTTAAGAAGAGTTGTACAATTGTCACCACAATGACTTTTCAAACACTTCCTTCCTTCTTGCTCTCATTGTTAGTAGCTTAAGCAAGGTATTTTTAAGCTTAGATGCAGGAGTTCACATCATCTGCTCATATATATATCTATATATATATATAGATAGATATATGTAAATATATTTAAGTCATTTTATTGGGGGCTCTTACAGATACTATAACAATCCATAAATCAATGATATCAAGCAAACTTGTCCATATGTTGGCATCATCATTTCAAAACATTATCTTTCTACTTGAGCCCTTGTTATCAGCTCCTCTCCACCTCCTCTTCCATATTTTGTTTGACTTGAATGATATGGATGCTATGGATCTTTTTTACCTAGCTGTCTATTTAATCATGAAGAGTATGAATCATTCCAAAGTTTGGTTGGTTTTTTTCTTCTTCAGAAAATCTACCTCAGCCTTAACTGAAATCTCTTAGCATGCAATACTCGCCCGCCAATATCAAGACAGTGTCACTCGGTCACCGGCAAATCTAAGGGTTTATGTCGACGCATACATGGGGGCGGGCAGTGTGAGGCTAGAAAGAGCCCATGCCACCAAATCAACTCAGAGTAACTCCAATGTGTCCCAGTAGAACTGTGTCGCACGGGGCTTTCAATGACGGAGTTTTTAGAAGTAGATCACCACGTCTTTCTCCCGAGGTGCTTCTGGGTGGATTCGAACCACTTACCAAGTGTGTCAACTGTTGGCACCACCTGGGCGTCTCATGACTAGATTAACCCAAACGCCCCGATTCAAGCCTATTGCTGTTAATGCCGACTGCATAGGACAGAGTAGAACTGTCCCATGGGGGTTGCAAGGCTGTCACCTTCATGGCAGCAGAGTGTCACATCATTTTCCTGAGTGGTTAGTGGGTTCAAACTTCTGACCTTAGGGTTAGCAGCTGAATACTTAACCACTGCGCTACCAGGGCTCCTTCATGCCTGTATGCAAAACCAAACCCAAACTACTGCCATCGGGTTGGTTCTGAGTCCCAGGAACCCTGTCATAGGACAGAACAGAACGGTCCCTGGGGCTTCCAAGGTTGTCATCTTTCCGGAAGCCGACTGCCTCATCTCTCTCCTGAGGTGGGGTTGAACCACCAACCTCTCAGCAGCCCAACGCTTCGTCTACTGTGCCACCTGAGCTCCTGTGACCACATTAGTTCTCAGGACGCGTAGTTTCTTGAAGGACGGCATACTCTTTGGTGGTCCTTTCATTGGCCCACGTTACACTTCCTTGTCAGTGAGAGTGGGGCCGCAGGACGGGGTGGTGGCTGTCCTGTGTAAAGCAGCGGAGCGAGATCTTTTGCTGGTCTCATCAGGAGGGTTCAGCTGAGGAGCCACTTGGTGATCGGTGAGGAAAGATGAGTTCCTTTCCGACTCGTTGAATCCTACTAGACAGCTGGGCGAGATCCAAACGTTCCCTCCAAATCCAGCCGCCTTTCACGCTGCTGTCAGAAGCTCTCCCAGTGGCTTGGCTTCCGCCTTCGGATTCCTGGACTAATCCCCCACTGGCTTCTTTCTCAGCAGACCGTTTTGACCACAGCAGGAAGAATGAGCCCCGAAGGGCTGCCTCCAAGTTAATCAAACACGAAGTCTTAATGTACTTCTCCAACTCTGAGGACAAGTCATGAAGTCTTGGCTATTCCTTGGAGCTGGCCTCTTGCAAGCCAAACAAGAGACCTTCAGACTCGGTGTGGGATGTCCTTAGGAGAAGAGCAAACTTCAAGCTCCAAATGGACTCTAGTTGTAGCCCGTTCATCTCCATTCATCCTGGAAACGTCTGCCATGAGACCATCTTTCTCCTCCCACCGGCACGTTGTCCTTCTTGGTGGGATGTGGCTGGCCTTTAGCCTGATCTGAACTGGGTTTGTCACCTAGGCTGGTCTCACTTGACCTTTACCTTAGCTTTGTCCTCTGAGGAGTGGCCTGTACAACCTGGCATCTCATAATCTCCTGGAAGTCTTCCCACTTAACGTGTGTATGTAAACTTTCCCCAAGTGGAGCCCGAGTCTGCGGTGCTGCGCTATTAGCTGCCATTGAGTCAACCTGGCTCATGGTGACCTGCTGAGGGTCACAGCACGGCTGTGTTTCACCGTTGAAAGAGGGCTTTCAAGGGTGCCTTTTGGGAAGTAGATGGCCAAACCTTTCTTCCAGCTACCTCTGCGTGGACTTGAACCTCCTACTTTCAGTTAAATCCCCATTGCATTAACAGTTTGCATGGCCCGGGGACTCCAGGTGGGGGTGTTGCCAGTTCCAAAATTTAAAAGAGCTTTTATGACCATTAACCAGGAAATAATAAAATTGTTTTCAGAGTTAACAACAACAAAAAATGCCAAAAAAAAAAAAAAACCTGCCAAAGTGATTTCATGGTGTTTTCAATCACGACACGCTGAGTTGCTGCCATAATCACACACCAGTTGACTTTATACTTTATAAGCAAAATTGTGACCATGGCAAATGTCTTGATATGTGTGGAAATTCTCCAACTGTGAGGCTCTCTGCCTCAGCCTTCCGCTTACAAAGCAAACAGAAGTTTCTTCCCTTTCTGTCCCACAGCAGCTCTTACCCTGAGTACTACCATAGGCTCCCCCACCCCCAAATAGAAAAAGGAAACAAAGCCTTCATTCCTTTGTCCTAGCTATCTAGTGCCTTTCTAAGAGGCCACAGATAGAAGGCTTTCACAATCAGAATTTGATGTCTCACAGTTTAACAAACAAGAAGGTTGAATTCAGAGCATCTCTGTTCTCTAAAGGAGTCTTGGTTAGTGGGGTAGTTACTTGCTGGGCTGCTAAACACAAAGTCTGCAGTTCTAAACCATCAGAAGAAAGATGGGGCTTTCTACTCCTGTAGCAAATGGCAGTCTCAGAAGTGCACAGGGGCAGTCCCACCACCCTGTCCTAAAGGGTCACTATGAGTTGGCATTGACTCAATGGCAGTGAGTGAGTGAGTGA